CTCTGCCTCGAGATTGTTGAAAGATACCACTCGTCAATGACGTGGAGTGGTTTGTGCGAAGTGGGAGCATTTCTGAGTTTCTGCGCTTGCCTGGCATCTCAAACGTTGTTAAGCGCCGCTGTACAGGGTCGGAGCGAAGTAGCTAAGTCCGGAGAGGCATGCTCGGATGCCTGCTCGTTCTGTCGCCAGAGACACTCACAGCAACTTCGGCTTATGATATTGCGACCGGACGACAGCGACGAAAAGAGGTGTTACTACCCGTGTTTCATTGCCATCGTTTTGGCGAAGTTGCGATGCTTGATCTCGTCGCGATGCTTTCTGCAAGTAATCGTCCCCTTTGCATTCCACGTGCCCTCTTCTCCCTTAGCTACCCTAGCCAGGCTTCTTCCTTTTTTGGCCCGCCTTCTTTCTCTGTGCCTCGTTCACGCTGGATGGTGTCGCCTTCGCGTGACAGCCGACATTCACATCTGAGCGGGCGTGCCCTGGGATTACGAAACATGTTCGGAGGAGTCTACCTTCCGAGCCTGATGAGAAGGAGGATGATGGCAAAGGAGGAGAAGGAAAGAGGATGGAGGATGGGAGGGGGGAGGATTCCCTTTTGGGGGGCATATTGGATCTCTCTTGGGGGCTCTGGGGCCGTCTCGGAGCTATTTTCGGGGACTCTTGGATTGTTGTGGAGGCTCTCCAGACCCAAAAGCCGAGAATGCTGAAGTTATCCGAAGTCACGTGCCTTGAGCGAGTGTGGTTTCATGGGTGAGCTTCCAGGGCTTCAGGCGTAAAGTCCCAAAGGAGGGCTCCAAGACGCCCCCTAGGCCATCTGATGACACGTGGGAAGCGTTGACACGAAGCTCCCGAGGCCGATGGAAAAGTCACGTGATAAGCCCTGGAACCTTTCAGAAATTCCGCGAGTTTGGCGTCTGGAACTTGGGACAAAGAGCTGTTACAACATTTTACTATTCAGTATGAAGGATTTTCAGACCTGAGGACGCTCCATTAGTGCCTACGACAGGTGGATGTACTTGTCATTGTCTGGGAGACAAGGTTGTATGCTGTTTTGGTGCCTGCCACGAATACGGGGAAGCTGGAATCATGTGTGCGGTTGGGCCCGGTTGTGTTGCATGCTTTGGGCTTCCGGGTGCGTTTTTCTCGTCGGGTCGCGCCGAATTTGAAAAGGGGTAGCGAAATTCCTCTGTGTAACCACCCGCTTGTGTTTCATTTCAAGGGCTCCGCGCGCGCCCGCCAAAGCCTTGCAACCATCTTTGTGCTCCCATCCGCTTCTGTTTCCTCGTTTGGAGAAGAACCCAGCAGGTCGCCCTGCTGGAGCGTGCTGTGCCGCCTGCCGCACAGCGCGTTGCACTTCAGGCAGTGAGGGCGTTGAGTCCAAAAAAAAATTCGGCGGGCCGCCCAAAGGTTTTGTGCCGACGGCGTTTTCTTGCGCGGCGGTGGCCAGGTCTTCATTATATTGTTTTTGCAGCGGATCGCGCGCGGGGGGGTCGCGCGGTACACTGCAGTGCCCGTGTGTTTTTTTTCCTTCGGCCCAACGCGCTGCGTTTTCTGATTGGCGTCGCGCGGTTGCCATCCGTGGCTGCCCCAGAGTCTTTTGTGTTTCTGGCACCGGGCGCGCCTAGCTCCTGCGGGAGCGGCGACGGCCCGCGCGGCTACGCCAAAAACGTTGTTTGTTTTGTTCGCGTGGCAGAAGATTGTGTTCACCCTTGCACGGAGCCCCGCTAGGATCACCCCAGAATCGTTATATGTTTCCCGCCCGGCGGGCAGTTGTGCTTTTTTTGGTTGGCAAGTTGGCCATGCAGCGGCCCCGAGTGGCAACCCAAACCACTTTGTTATTTCTTCGCGGGGGCCGATCGCGCGCGGTCGCGCGCGTGGCGAGAGTTTTGCAGCTCAGACTGGAAGAATCGCCATGGTAGCCTGGAAACTAAAGTGAACCTTTAACGGTGATCAACGGGATCTCGGGTGATCCGCCCGCGCGTGGGTCACCCGATAGCGCGCGCGCGCGGACGCGCGCGTTGCGATTTTTGTGTTGTCCACAATGGAAAAGTCGCCATGTTGGTTTGGAAGCTAAAGGGAACCAACCCTTCACGGTAATCGATGTGATTTTGGAGTTAACGTGCGTTTCTCGTTTGTTCAAAGGAATCCATCGGGTTCTTCCGGCAGTGTCATATTGATTTCCTAAGGCGTACTGTGAATTCCCCCAGGAATCCGATGCATATCCTAAGGAATCCAATGGATTGCCAAAAGGAATCCCATGGATGTCCTAAGCATTCCTTTGGATTGACGAAGGAATCGTGTGGATTCCGTAATGATTCCGATGGATTTTCCGAAGGAGTCCGATGGATATCCTACGGAAGCCTTTTTGGATTTCCTCGGGGTGTCGATTAGTTTCCTAAGGATGCATGTTATGTGTTGTTTGTTTCTAAGAGTATGTTTTTCCAAGGAGCCCGATGGATGTCCGATGGAATTCGATGGATGGCCACAGGGATCCTATGGATCCCAGGAACCCTGTGCATGTCCTGGGGAGTCCGATCGTTTCCCTGAGGATCCCGATGGCTTTCCGAATCAATTCTATGGGTTTCCGAAGGATCCTTATAGATGGCCGAAGAATCAGATGGATGTCCTAAGGGATCCTATGGATTTCGTACGGAATCCGATGGATGTCTTCATAATTTCTATGGATGTCCTCAGGAACCCGATGGATGTTCGAAGGAAACCGATGGATGTCACGAGGAATTCTATGGATGTCCAAAGGAAGCCGATGGATTCCCGAAGACATCCGATGGATTCCTAACGAACCCTACGGATGTCCGAAGGAATGTGTTGTATCCCTATGGAATCCGATGGATTGGCTAAGGGATCTGATTGATGTTGTGTGAGAAGCCAGATGGATATCCTGAGGCATCGCATGGGTGCCCTAAAGGATCCGATATATTTCCTCCGGAATCTTTACAGAGTTCTTAGGGAGTCCTATTGATGCCCCAAGGGGCCCCATGGATTCCCGAAGGCACCCGATGGATTTCCAAAGGGATCCGATGGATTTCCGAGGGAATCCGATGGAACTCTTGGGAAGCTTATGCCTTCTCTATGGATTGTCTAAAGAACCAGATGGATGTCTTGAGGAATCCTCCTCCTCTTCCTCCTTGCGCTCCCGCCCCAGACTTTTGCATCCTGTTTTTTGTTACCGCAAACGGACCGAAATGGATTTCTCCTACAGTCCTCTGGACATGCGCCATTGAAAACGATTAGAAAGAATTGAATCCCACACATACCAAACCGAAGGTCCCGAATCGAAATTGTTTTGGAAAACTGGTCGTTGGGCTCCGCCTCCTCCTCCTCCTCCTCCTCCTCCTCCTCCTCCTCCTCTTATGGATTTCCGTGGGGATCTTAGGGACGTCCTAAGGAATCCAATGAAATCCCTTGGGGATCTTATGGATTCCCCCCCAAAAAAAACCAATCGATTCCCTACGGGACCGGATGGATTTCCTAAGGAACGGAACCCCATGACGTCTCAAGGATTCCTATGGATGTCCTGAGGAACCCGATGGATGCCCTAAGGTTTCGTAGAGATGTCCTAAGGACTCCGATGGATGTCCCACGGGATCTTATGGATTTCCTCAGGGATCCTCTCTGGATTCCCTACGGAATCCTTTTCCGAAGGAACCCGATGGATCGCTTATAAGGGATTCTATGGATCTCCTCACGCTTTCGGGCAGCCCTTTTGTGTTTTGTTCCTCGGCCCGAGCGTCCCCCCCCCCCCAGGGGTGGTCCCCCCCAGGGGTGGTCCGACGCCCCCCCCCCCCCACCCACCCCAGGGGTGTCGGTCGGGCCAGCCCCTCCGCCGTCGTTGGTATTCGCCCCTTCCTGCGCGGAGGTGTTCGTCGGGCCGATTGGGGGGCTCTTTTTGGAGCTGCCACGGCGTCTTTGTTTTTTTGGTGGTCGGGGCACGGGCTCCTTTTGTGTGTTGTTTTGTTGTTGGAAGGCCCGCGCGAGGGCGATTTTCACTACCCTGACCTCTCTGCTCTGTCCGCGGTGTGTCCAGCCCGTAGTGCTACCAGCTTCCCCGTAAACGAATAGTGCGACGATGACGATGGTGGTGATGATGTTGCTGCTGGTGATGATGGTGATGGTGATGATGATTATCATGATTATGAGGATGAAGATGAGGATGATGGTGCTTGTGGTGATGATTGTGACGGTGATGGTGGTGATGAGGAGGACGATGATGACGCTGATGATGTTCATGATGATTTGATAATCATAATGTTGCTGTGTCTGATGATGGTGCTGATGCTGATGAGGATGATGATGCGAATGAGGATGAGGATGGTGATGATGATGATGAGGATGATGATGCTGCTGCTGCTGCTGATGATGTTCATGGTGCTGATGATAATGATGATGGCGAGGATGATGATGAGGATTGTGGTGGTGGTTGTGTTGGTGGTCTTGATGATTATGATGATGATTGTAGTGATGATGGTGATGCTGGTGGTGATGGTGATGCTGATGAGGGTGGCTGTGGTGGTGGTGGTGATGGTGGTGGTGATGAGAATGATGATGAGAAGAGGAAGAAGGAGGAGGACTAGGAAGTCGCCAGAATCACAGCTTCTCTACTTCCCTGGCGCGTAAGCGATACTACTACAGCGGCCTCATGTATGTATAATTCCGCCGACCTGAAAAGAGAGATCAACAAGGACGCAACAGGCGGGCGGGGGGCGGGCGGAAGTGGCAGTGGCGGTGCCACGCCGCTGGCCTCGCTTCACGCTAGGCACCCTGCCAGCGAGCCTGCGTTGTGGACCAGAAGCCTTTTGGATGCCTTCCGGAGTCTCTCGGGGAGCCTGGGCTCGCGGAGGCCTCTCGGTAGCCTTGGCTGTGTGGCGTCTTTTGGATGCCTCTGGGGGGTCTTGGGGCCACCATGGACAGCATGCTTCTGCCAGTCTTCTGGTGGCGCGCCACTTTGACCCTTTTGGGGGCCTCGGGAGCCCTCCACTGGCGATCTTGGCGGTTTCCTTGGCCGTTTTTGACGCTCCAAGATCGATATTACGCGGTCCGTGGCCATTTTGGCTCAAGCAATTCTTGGCTCACGGCTATCTAGAGGCCCTCCCCCCGCTCTGCCTGTCCTCTTCCCTAGCACCCAGGAGACCACCGCCTTTCTGTGACCATGGCCAATGCCGCGGAGCTCATGCGGATATGTGCCCCACTGTACCCGTCCATCGCCCTGGAGAGCATGGCGAACATCGGGCTGTTTCTCTTCTTCTCGTATCTGTCCATCCTCATCTCCACGAAGCAGCAGGTGAAGACGCCTGGGAGGGCGATTTGTCGGATGGTATGGAGCGGCCTGCAGGAGTGGTCGGAGGACACTTGGAGGGTCTTGCGCAGGTGGCCTCACATGCACAGAATGGAGCTCGGCCAACGTTTCCGCTACTGCCGGAGGCTCAACGCGACCATCTGTCGAGTATCAGCTGGCATCGCGCTCATTACGATCACCCGATGGTTCCACATCAACAACGTGAACGGCTTCCGCTACCTCGGGTATGCCCTCACGTGCCCCCTGATGCAGGCCGAGCTCGTGCTGCTCATCGCGCCGCACATCTGGTGCTACAGGCTCTTAACGGTCTTCTCGGCCCTCATCACTTTCGGCATGCTCGTCACAGGCTACGCTGCGTCCCAGTTCGAGGGGCAGATGTGGAAGAACAGTTTCGCGGACTTCTATGACGAAGCCCTGGAAGGTAACCTGGACAGTCTGACCACGAAGGGATGGTGGTTGATGCCGAGCATGCTGGCACTGTGCTTCCTCTCCTTTGTGCAGATACCAATGCTTGGCCTCGTGTACTACTGGAACGGCGGCTCGAAGAATGAAGACCTGCCGAAAGGCTTCCCTAAGCTCCTGTTGATCACGTCTCTCTCGTGGCTGGGCTTTCCCGTCTGGTGGTTCTTGTCGTTCGAGGGGGCCAGCATCATCACGGAGACCCGGTGGAATGCCGTAGGTTTTGTGTGCCTGAACATGACCAGCAAGGGCGGTTTCACCCTGCAGATGCTGAGCATGGTGAAGGCGTGGAAGCGCCAGCAGGCCCAGAAGCCGAAGCCCCAGGCCCCCCCGCAGGCCAAAGGGCTGCAGGAGCGCAGGCTCAGCAGCGCGACGCTGCCCGACCTGGACCCCCCCGCGCAGAAGGCCGCCGCGGAGGCCCCCGCGGTGCGGTCCGCCAAGAGGATCCAGACGGGCCAGTCGCTGCAGTGGTTCGTCGACGCCATGAAGGAGTGGGAGCCGCAGGAGCCAGCCTCTGCCGCGCAGGAGGCTACCAGCCTGGAGCACATCCCTATCCCTATGTTGGGCATCGCCTCGTCACGATGGCGATCTCAGGGATCTCCTCAGTTTCTGAGGGTGGATCCCTGAGATTGCCATCTCCTTCTGGCGTGTCAGTCTTAGGGGTAGGGATATGTTCCAGGCTGGTGAGAAGGCGAGCGCGGGTCCGGGGGCCGAGGTCGAGAGGGTGGTGGTCACGGACCCGGGCCAGCTCAACGACGAGCAGCTCATGCAGGAGCTGGGGAAGCGCCTGGCCGCGCACGGGCCGAAGCACGCGCTGAACCACTCCATCCGCCAGGCGTGCACCAAGATCCTCGAGGGCGAGGAGAGCGATGACGACGAGTGAGCGGCGCGGCAGGGGCGGCTGGTGGTGACCACCAGATGGCCTTCGAGTCGCAGAGCAAAGACATTTTTAAACATACTTTCTCGGAGGGTCGCGCGGAGTTCTCGGATCGGCGCTGGCACCCTGCGACGCGTGCGTGCCCGTGCCGCTGGCGCGATGGCATCGGTGAAGCCGTGCTGTCGGCCGAGCTGTCGCTGTGATCACGGCCCCAGGCCTCCAACATGTTGTGTCAATTGGCCCCGCACTGAATCATCAAGACATCTGGGACAGTGCTCACCGCCCAGGCTTCCGACTCTGTCTCGCCCGACGCCCTGTGAGAACCTCCGGGCCGTGTTCCCGGCGCGCTCAAGAGGCTCGGGTCTCTCCGGTCGTGCGCCGAGGGGGTGGTCTCCTCGCCCTGGAGCGGCGATGGGGCCCTCACGAGGCCCCTCCATGTTCTTGATCGCGAGGGCAGACATTATTTACTGCCCTTGTGGTCCGTTTTTGCCCGCCGTGTGCGGGCTTGTGGGGGCTTGCGGTCGCTCGTATGTGATTGCACGTCCGCAGCAGTGGCCCCCTGTGGAGCCCTCTCTCGGACTTCCGATCCGATCCGATATGATTCGCATATTGTCCTAAGCAACGCTAGCGCTACGTCTTTAATGCGCCGGAGTGTAGCCAGCCTCGGTCTCATCCCTATCCCTAAGGTTCCCGCGTCCCCCGTCCTTTCATTCCAGGCTACGCAGATACTTGCGAAATTGTCTCACTTGGTTGCTTGTGCCAAAGCATGTTGCCAGCCATACACGTGGATGTTTGCGCAGGGGTGTCCCCAGGTGCAGTCAAGCGCAAATTCGTAGGGCTGCTCTCCGTCCCGTGCCTCTAGTTTCTCCCTACCTCATTGTGCTTATCCTTTTCCACTTCGTCCTTTAACTGAATGATATTCACACCGTAATGCCATTAAACTAACTACGTTTCAAGAGAAGGCGTTCCGCGACAAGTGCGACGTCGCCTCACATGGCCGATCGTGCCGAAACATGCTACCAGCCATACAGGCGGGCGCCGGCAGTGGCGAGGAAAAAATTAGCCTGGCGAAGGACCCAACCATATGCAGTTGTGAATATTGCAAATATGAATATCGTTTTCGGTGGCGCTACCTCTGGGTAGGGGAGACGCATGCGAATACCCCCACTTGGGCCTTCGGTGGAGCTCCCTATGGGGCTACGAAACGCTGCCCTGGGTGGGGGAACCGCATGCGGGCACCCCCACTGGGGCCTTCGGTGGAGCTCCCTGTGGGGCCACGAAACGCTGCCCTGGGTGGGGGAACCGCATGCGGGCACCCCAACTGGGGCCTTCGGTGGAGCTCCCTATGGGGCTACGAAACGCTGCCCTGTGTGGGGGGACCGCATGCGGCAGCCCCACTGGCGCCTACGGTGGAGCTCCCTATGGGGCCACGAAACGTTGCCCTGGGTGGGGGAACCGCATGTGGACACCCCCACTGGGGCCTTCGGTGGAGCTCCCTATGGGGCTACGAAACGCTGCCCTGGGTGGGGGAACCGCATGTGGACACCCCCACTGGGGCCTTCGGTGGAGCTCCCTATGGGGCTACGAAACGCTGCCCTGGGTGGGGGAACCGCATGTGGACACCCCCACTGGGGCCTTCGGTGGAGCTCCCTATGGGGCCACGAAACGCTGCCCTGGGTGGGGGAACCGCATGCGAACACCCCCACTGGGGCCTTCGGTGGAGCTCCCTATGGGGCACGAAACGCTGCCCTGGGTGGGGGAACCGCATGCGGACACCCCCACTGGGGCCTTCGGTGGAGCTCCCTATGGGGCTACGAAACGCTGCCCTGGGTGGGGGAACCGCATGCGGACACCCCCACTGGGGCCTTCGGTGGACTGGGGGCCTTCGGTGGAGCTCCCTATGGGGCTACGAAGCGCTGCCCTGGGTGGGGGAACCGCATGTGGACACCCCCACTGGGGCATACGGTGGAACTCCCTATGGGGCTACGAAACGCTGCCCTGGGTGGGGGAACCGCATGTGGACACTCCCACTGGGGCCTACGGTGGAGCTCCCTATGGGGCTACGAAACGTTGCCCTGGGTGGGGGAACCGCATGTGGACACCCCCACTGGGGCCTTCGGGAGAGCTCCCTATGGGGCTACGAAACGCTGCCCAGGGTGGGGGAACCGCATGTGGACACCCCCACTGGGGCCTTCGGTGGAGCTCCCTATGGGGCTACGAAACGTGTGAGGGGTGTGCCGAGAGCAGAGGCAAGGAGGGGGAGGAGGGAGGAGGGGGAGGAGGGGGAGGAGGAAGGAGAGGAACGCGGGGCACCGTCTCTTCAAAACGAGGACCCAACACCACAGGATGGTTGGGAAAAATACAGGCGGGCGCCGGCAGTGGCGAGGAAAAAACAAAGATCGATATTACGCGGATGCGAACATCGTATCAGGCTCTGTCTGCTTTCGGTGTTTGCCTTTTGCGCTGGCTCCGACAGCCACTACGAGGGCTCAAGAGAACTTGAACACGGCTCCAGCACGAGCCCTTGGGACCATCTAAAGGTGGCTCCAGAACGAGCCCCTGGGACCATCCTGACGCATGCCAGCGAATCAGGGTCCGAACCGCGCTACGAGTCAGTTCAGGGCTACTACGGGGAGAGAAACCTCGCAAGGTAGGGGCTCCTCCCCGGGACCACCACCCCAATCCCCCCAGGGGGCGGGCAAGGGATCAAAGGACGCGGACGTCCCCTCGACTGAATTGCGGCGTCGTTCGATTTCTCTTATGATCGCGTGGCTGAGGAGGAGGCCCCAAGGTGGCCACAGGGACAGGGGGGATGAGCTTCAGAGCGCCGGAGATGAGACCCCGCCGTCCCCACACCCACGCCGACAGGGCCAGCGGGCTTTGCCGTCTGGGGACAAGCCTGTGCCAGCAGGGCTGGACGGACGTGTTTCGAAAGACAGCCAGCGTGATGCCCCTCCAGGGGGATCTGGACCTGAGTTTTAGCAGATTCTGGCGGGGGGGATGGGGGATTGAAGATGGGGAGGAGGAGGAGGAGGAGGAGGAGGAGGAGGAGGAGGAGGAGGAGGAGGAGGAAGCCGCGAAGCGAAGGCTCGTGTATAGTGAACGGAGCGGAGTCTGGAAGTTGCTTCAGTCCGTTTCAGTTGCCTCTGATCTTCTCTCCAAGGGCGCCTTCTAGGGCGCAAAGTGGTGCGCGCTTCGCGCTTCGGCTCCGGTTCCTCCTTAGCCTTCTCTCTCCTTCGGGGTGGGCGGCGCGAGAGCGCGAAGTGGTTTGCGCTTCGCGCAGCGCGAGGCGCGGAGTTAGGAGCCCCTAATTCGGCGGCAAGTCACGGGAGCCTGGTATACCCTCGTAAGTCCGTCTTTAGCGTCGACTGGCGTCGATCAGCGTCTTGGAGTCGATGAGACAGCGCCGATTCAGCGTCGGGCAGCGTCGGCTCGCGTCGACTTAGCGTTGATTTAGTGTCGATCTAGCATCGCTTGGCGTCGATTCACGAGATCCGACAGAATGGTATGGGAGGCTCCTACGAGTTGCCGCCGAACCTTCGGTTGAGCACCCCGTGGGGTCACGAAACGTGTGGGGGGTGCGCCGAAAGGGGGGGCGGAACTGCATGCGGACCCCGCCACCGGGACCTCTGGTGGAGCTCCCTTTGGGGCCGCGAAGCGTGTGAGCAGTGCGCCGACATGGGCACGCGAGAAAGCTTGTCTCTCGCCGCCCCCCTGGGCTCGAGCATTTGGCACCGACGCTTTCTGTGCGAGGACCGCTCGCGGACACCGCGCGGCAGCGGCGGCGCGCCCGCGGCCCGGCCGGCAGCATGCGTGGAGCCCTGGGGCTCGCACTGCGCGGGCGGGCAGGTAATCTCGGAGGCTGCAGCAGGGGCGAGTAGCCGCCATGATCTCGATACATGTATGTGTATATATATGTATGTGTGTATATTCATACACATACACATAAGCATACACATAAACACATACATGCATACATACATGCATGCATACATAGAGACAGACATGTATGCATGCATGCATACATACATACATGCATGCATGCATACATGCATGCATGCATACATACATACATGCATACAACTACATGCACACACACACCTATATATATACATAGGCATATCTATATACACATACATATGCAATCATTTACATACATGTGCATGCATATCTATACATACATATACATACATAGACATACATGTACATACATATACATACACATGCATACCTATACATGCATATCCATACATGCATGCATGCATACATACAAACATGCATGCATGCATGCATACATACATACCTACATACATACAGACAGACAGACAGACAGACACTCATACATACATGCATACATACATACATACATACATACATATATGCATACATACACACATACACACATACCTACCTACCTACCTACCTACCTACCTACCTACCTACATACCTACATACACACACATACATACATACATACATACAAACATACATACATGCATGCATGCATGCATGCATGCATGCATACATACATACATACATACATACATACATACATACATACATATGTATACATGCATACATATGTACACATGCATACATATGTATACATGCATACATGCATACATGCATACATGCATGCATGCATACATATATACAAGGATAAGGTTGTTTGTTTGCCTTGCTTCGCTTCACCACAGCATCTTGTCCCTCATCCTCGTCCTCTGCGCAGGAGCGCGGATGTCGCACCCCACCACGGTACATGAGAACGACGGAACGTGGTGTGCTCGTGAGTTTGATGGTTTTCGGGTCGGGCATGCTTTCACGTGTGTCGTGAATCTGAGGGTTTGGGTGGGTTGGGTATGTTGTGGTCTCAAGGGGGTCTATTATGGTTGGCTTGCGCATCGCGCATATCACGTGTCACGGTTTCGAATTGCGTCGTGCTGGTGCTTGTGCTGGAAGTCGAGCCCGTGATTGTGTTGGTGGTCGTGCTGCTGGTCATTATTGGTCATTCCTGGTGGTCGTGCTGGTGATGGTGCCGGCAGATGGTCGTGCTGGTGGTCGTGCTGTGCCTGTGGTCGTGTTTGGGGTCATGCTGGTGGTTCGTCTTGCTGGCGGTCGTGCTGGTGGTCGTGTTTGGGGCCATGCTGGTGGTTCGTCTTGCTGGCGGTCGTGCTGGTGGTCGTGCTAGTGGTCGAGCTGGGAGCGCGGGGCCACCATCGGCGTTGGTTTTCGTAAGGAGTAAACGTGTCTGGACGCGAAGAGCCACCCAAGGGGCCAAACTAATGTTTGGTTCACGTCGACGGTTTTTTTTTTGCTCTGGGGCCCGGGAGGGGGGACGTTAAGCGCCCTCCAGGGAAGCCGGCGCCGCGAGGCCGTCGTGGGTTGGTTTTGTGCGGGAGGAGCATGTCCAGGGCGCAGGGCGAGATAACCCGCTATCCCAACCCTGCGGAACATCAACGGAAGCTTGGAGCCGCGGAGCTCGCCGTCGCGGGGCCCGGGGGATCACCACACCTTTCGTGTTGCGGTGCTCTGCGGCAACAGTTTGTCGCGCAGTAAGAAACCATAGCAGCCTGAATAGTGCAAACACCGTGCGGGATGCGGAATGAACGAGCGTGGCGTCTCCAGGCCGTCTTGAGGGTCGTCTTGGGGCCCTTCTGGGCTGCTTCGGGGCCCTCCTGGGCTGCTCCAGGGCCCTTCTGTTCTCGTCCTGGGCGGCTTTGGCCGTGTTGGCGCCCTCTTCGACCCGTCTCGAGGCCACCTTGGGCATTCGTCGGGCTTCTTCGGGCCCTCTTGGGGCCTGTTGGGCGCCGCGCAGGGCCCTGCCGGCTGTCTTTGGGCCGTCTTGTGGCCCTCGTGGCGGCTTCGTCGACTGTCTCGGGGGGATTTGGGGGGCGTCTTAGATCGTCTTGGGCCGTGGGAAGCCTGAAGAGGTGAGAACCGTGAAAGCCGTCCAAAACTCACGGAAACAACAGTGTCAATGTATGTGGCCTCGTGAAGCCTTCGTGGAAGTCATTTAGAGGGCTTCCAGACTTGTCTCGGGGCTATCTTGGGCCGCTTCGAGGCCATCATACATCGTATTAGAACGCGTTGGGGCGGTCTTGGGCTCTCTTGGCGCGCTCTCGGCCCTTCTCCTTGCGATAGCGGAGGCATACTGGCAGCCAGTTTCCTGAACAGGCCCCCTGTCCGACGGGCTGCAGTGCAAGGATATCCACATCCCACCTGCTCGGAGTCGTGCACTGGAGGAATTGTGGCATGGACACGTGCACGCACCCGACGGCGGGAGAGCATTCCTGCCCACCGCTTCTCAGGAGGAGGAGGAGGAGGAGGAGGAGGAGGAGGAGGAGGAGGAGAAGGAGGAGCAGGGAGAGGAGCAGGGGGAGGAGGATGAGGAGGAGGAGCACGGAGAGGAGCAGGGGGAGGAGGAGGAGGAGCAGGGAGATGAGCAGGGGGAGGAGCAGGGAGAGGAGCAGGGGGAGGAGGAGGAGGAGGAGGAGGAGGAGGAGGAGGAGGAGGAGGAGGGAGGAGGAGGAGGAGGAGGAGGAGGAGCAGGGAGAGGCAGGGGGAGGAGGAGGAGGAAGAGGAGGAGGAGAAGGAGGAGGAACGGAGGAGGAGGAGGAGGAGGAAGAGGAGGAGGAGGAGGAGTGCAGGGCAGGAGCCCAGCAGCTGTGGATGTGCACGCTGCTTGCCGGTGCACAGGGGGGCAGTGCCTGCTCTCCCTCCGCGGCGCGGCACGCCCCTGCCGCAGCCCCCGCCGATCTGGCCGGGGGTGGCCGACGGCTGCGCGACGACGTGGCGCGATTAGGGGGCCACAGGCGAAGCCTGCCCCAGGAGTCGAGCCGAGGAGGCGCGAGCTGTGGCCAGGCGCTGTCCTCCCTCCTCTTCCTCCTCCTCCTCCTCCTCCTTCCCCCACGATTTCTGAGGGGGAGGGTGGGGTTCACTTTGTTTGGGAGCTCCCGAGCGACGTGAACCCCACCCTCCCCCTCAACATCGTGGGGGGTAGGGGTAGGGTTCGCATGTGGCCCCCTAGCGATTTTCTGGATTTTCCGTCTGGCCTTCGTCGAAGAAGAGAAAGCGCCATAGACATTAACTTTTGGCGCTCCGCGCGGATTTCTTGGATCCGCGCTGGGCACCGCTCCCTGGCGCGCGGAGCGCGCGAGGGGCGGCGCCGGGGGCGCCTTCGGGGAGGCCCAGCGCGGATCCAAGTAATCTGCGCGGAGCGCCAAAAGTTATGTTTATGGCGTTTTTCCGTTTTCAGTTTCTGGAGCTTCCGTCTGGCCTTCGCCGTGCCAGGCCGCTGGCTCGTCGGATTACCGGCGGCTGCAGTCACGGCGCCTGGGCCATCTTGCGAGCGACGGCAGGCGTGGCAGTCTGCATGATGTGGCCAGTGCTGCAGGCCTGGGGTTCGGACACTTGCTCGGACCTGCGCAGCTGCAGCTGCGCCGGCAGATATGATGGGCCAGTCGTCCGCCACCGCTGCCATAGGTAGGACGGGGGAGACGGGAGGATGAGGATGTCCTCCTCCTCCTCCTCCTCCTCCTCCTCCTCCTCCTCCTCCTCCTCTTCGTCCTCCTCGTCCTTCTCCTCGTCGTCGTCCTCCTCCTCCTCGTCCTCCTCCGCCTCCTACATATGGCAGTGGTGGTGGAACATCGGCCCATCAGGATAACTATTCCTGAGAAGAGGCTCACAAAGAAGGTGATGCGGTCATCAGGCCCCGGCGGGCAGAGCGTCAACATGTCGGACAGCAAGGTGCAGCTCAGCTTCAACTTCAACGACGCGGACTGGCTCCCCGAGCCGGTGAAGGCGAAGATGCGCCAGCTGTTCAAGAAGCGCGTCTCGAAGAGCGGCGAATTTGCCGTCAAGTGCCAAGTCACGTCCTCGCAGATAGAGAACACAGCGCTCGCAGTGCAAATGATCCGTGATTCCATCGAACAGGCTCAGAGGGCGATCAAGGACGACGAGAGGGAGGCCAACAAGATTGACAATAGAGAGTGGGTTATAGAGAAGATGAAGAAAACGGAGGAGGGTGTAAAGCGGCTCGAGAAGAAGGCGGAGGCGATCAAGAAGATCAAGCAAGACAGGAAGATGAAGAACCGAGAAAATAAGTGGCGAGATTGACGACCTGTCTGGCTCAGGGTGACGACATCCAAAACATCTGATCCATATATGTGGTCATCGGTGCAAGTTTCGAATCTTCATGCGTACCCCGAAGTGCGCGCACACCATTCCAGGGATGAGATGTGATGGCGAGAGGGAATAAGGAGAGGGAGAGGGGAGGGTGGATCTTCATGCTTACGCCAAGGTTCACGGCGCCAATCCAAGCACGATGGCGAGGTGGGAAGCGGGTTGGGGATGAAACAGAGACGAGGGAGGAGGCAAGCAGCAGACAGGAGCCAGGTCTTGAGAGATTCATAGGAGCTCACGGAGGATTTTGGGTCCAGGTTTTGACAATTCCGTTCGTGCTTTGTCGGGGCGCCCAGGTGTTTCACAACAGAGGCAGGAGGAGAAACGGAGGAGCAGGAGCAGAACGAGCAGGACCAGGAAGGAGGAGGAGGAGGAGCAGCAGAAGGAACATCATGACAATGCCATACCACCCAAGAAAACGTGCCCGGAATCTGTGGAGCACCAGGACGACAAGGAACGGCACACGCACGCATTGGAAGGCGAACTCCAAGGTTTAGCACGTCTGCAGAACGCTGCCACCCAGGACCAGCGTGTGTAAAACATGACTGCCCCACCATATGAATAACGTAATCGGCACGACACTCCTCTGGAAGCCACCGCCAAGCTTACGAACATGTAAGTAATCATCGGCCCAGCTCTTGGGTTGCACTTGACAAAGAAAGTGTGAAGATACATCCATCTTCTTGGACGTGCCTCGTGACCCTCAGCACCATGACGCATATGGGATAAGCCTCAGACTCGCGAATCAACACAATCGAAATCTCCCCACGAGAGCAGCAATCAAAACCTTCATGGTCAGCAGGAGGAATGAACTTGACCAACGTGTTGCAATGACCGTCTGAATATCCATAGACGGCACAATCGTAAGTAATACGCGCATGCTTAGTCAACCTCAGAATATTGGATTGAGGACCTACCTGAAAAAGGCCATGAATGACACCGATCGGCACGTGCCCAGTGCAGCACCCACTAGGTCTCGAAGACCTGCCCAGGAGAACACGAAGCGCATTGGGAGCAGACGGACAGGAAGTCGGTCACCGCGTAGCCGTACTCGACGAATTCGTCCAGTCTCGTCATCCGAATTTTGTCGCAAAACAAACCGCGGCAGGAGTCGGAGCCTCCCGAGCGACCCGTGAAGGCGTTGGGCGCGACCTGGGGCCCATCGCTGAGCCAAAGAGGCCTCGAGCCGCGAGTGCTCGAGAAGGGCACCAGGAGGGAGGGAGGAAGGCGTCGAGGGAGGGAGTGAGGGAATGCGTCGAGGGAGGGAGGTATGGAGGGAGGAACACGTTGAGGGAGGAGCACGTCGAGGGAGGGCAGCCGGAGGGAGGGAGAGAGGCGAGGCGTCGAGGGGAGGCGGGGAGGCGGCGGCGGAGGGAGGGAGGGGGGGGAAGAGCGGGCGGGGAGGGCAGGGGAGGCGGAGTGGGAGTGGCGGAGGGGGGGGGGAGGAGCCGGGGCAGGGAAAGAGGGAGGAGAAACGAGGGAGAAAGGGAGGGAATCTGGGCCCCTCAGATGGGGTCGGAGTAGATGGGGCCGGTGGATCGCGCCGCATCGCCGATGCATCGCCGATGCGGTTCGATGTGGAGCCCGTATTTCCCCACGCCGACGTCGCCGATGCATCGGCGATGTGGCGCGATCTTCCGACCCCATCTATTCCGACCCCACCAAGGAGGCTTTTAGGGAAGGAGGGAGGAGGAACGAAAGAGAAAGGGAGGGAAAGAGGAGGGATGGGGAGAGGAGGGAGAGAGCGAGGCAGAGAGGGAGCGGCAGGGAGGAGTGGACAGTGGGGTCGGCGAGAGCGAGAGAGAGAGAGAGAGAGAGATTCGAGGACTCGCAAGGTAGAGCTTGGGCCTAATGAGGGATGTATCGAAGCGGCAGGGGAGAGGGACGAAGTTGGAAAGCCGACGTTGGCGGTCGTCCAGGGCCAACGCGTTCTCGCACTCCTTCACTTCCTCCTCCTTCTCCTCCTCCTCCTCCTCCTCCTCCTCCTCCTGCTCCTCCTCCTCCTCCTCCTAATCCTCTTCCTAATCCTCATCCTCATCCCCCTTCCCCCTCCCCCTCCCCTTCCTCCTCCTTCTCCTCCTCCTCCTCCTCCTCCTCCTCCTCCTCCTCCTCCTCCTCCTCCTCCTCCTCCTCCTCCTCCTCCTCTTTTTCCTGCTCCTCCTAATCCTGCTCCTCCTCCTCCTCCTCCCCTCCCCCTCCTCCCTCCTCCTCCTCCTCCTCCTCCTCCTCCTCCTCCTCCTCCTCCTCCTCCCCTCCTCCTCCTCCTCCTCCTCCTCCTCTCCTCCTCCTCCGCCTCCCCCTCCTCCTCCTCCTCCTCCTCCTCCTCCGCCTCCTCCTCCTCCTCCTCTCCTCCTCTTCCTCCTCCTCCTTCCTCCTCCTCCCCCTGCCTCCTTCCTCCTCCTCCTCCTCCTCCTCTCCTCTCCCCCTCCTCCTCCTCCTCCTTCTCCTCCCCCTTCTCCTCCTCCTCCTTCTCGTCTTCCCCTCACTCCTCCTCCTCCTCTCCTCCTCCTCCTCATCCTTCTCCTCCTCCTCCTCCTCCTCCTCCCCCTCCTCCCCATCCGCCTCCTCCTCCTCCTCCTCCTTCCTCCTCCTCCTCCTCCTCCTCCTCCTCCTAGTCCTCCTCCTCCTCCTCCTCCTCCTCCTCCTCCTCCTCCTCCTCGCGAGCCATCGTGAAGTGGGCAAGTCTGCCATCAAGACGCTGAAGTAAGGACCGCCCCGAGCTCCGTGGGGCCTTCGGCGTTCCGGCCGCTCCTTGGTATCCAGGCCTCGTGGGAGAGGCTCGCCATGGCCAGAGAAGCCCCTCGCACTCCCTACTGTTCGGGGGCGTTCCCTGCTCGGGGGGGGGGGAACACGCAGACACAAGGAATCGTCGGTCCGCAGGAGAGCACGGGAAATCTGGGAGGTGGACGGGGAGACGAAAGTCCAGGGGGCATGGGACACATTGGGAATCGTGGGGGCACGAAGAGTCGTCGATCCCCAGGAGAGCACGGAACATTTGGGAAGTGGACGGGAGGACGAGAGTCCAGAAAATACGCAACATACTGGAAATCCTCGGATTCGTGCCAATTTCTTTGTGTGTCGCCGGGTCTGCGTGTGTCCTGGGGCCCCTTCGCCTATGGAGGCGCGATGGATGCATTTTGGGAAGGCGGGAAGCCGTGATACTTGGTGTTCGGAATGAATGTTTCTTTGGGCCTGTGTCGCGGATGGAGGTCTCCCATTCGCGAGGGGAGAGAAATGAAAGCATCGCTCGCTTTGACAAGCAATCGCATACAACAGCAAATTTTGAACGCGTTGCATTGCAGAAGACTTCTCAGAGAGGAGGATGTTGGGCACGTCCAGTGATGTGGGTAGAGACGTGGGCCGTTCCAGGGCGTCCCTGTGCTGGTTGGGAGCAGTGTCCAATCACGAGGAGTGTCCGTCATGTCGTCGTCGCGCACGCAGCGAACGAATGGACCAACTTGTGACGTCAAGTATTATGGCAGGCAGCCATGTTGGCATCGATCCTTACATGCAAAGGGCGACATACTCGTGGACGTATGCTCGCATTGTGTATCATTATCGTGGCGCTTGCTTGGCTCACAGCAAGCACGGGGCCTGCCTGCTGCTCGAAGTTGGCCATGCAGCTTAAGGCATACTGCAAGCCGAATGCCGATCGTCGAGGAGAGCTGGAGCTGTGTGCCTTTCGGTGAGTTGCATTTCCGTCCGAGGTGGTAGGAGCAATAACTTTGGCACATCAGATTCAGTACCGGTTGATTCGTCGACGTGTTGTTCATTTTGTTCCAACCTTCTTGCGTCGGGTGATTGTTCTAAACAGAGCGTTGTTTCTTCCTTTCTGCTCTCCGCCCGCCTCCCTCCTCCTGCTTCCTTCCTCCTACCTCCTACCTGCCTGATCGCGTACTTGCCTGCTACCCTCTCTCCTATCTCCTATCCTTCTCGCCGCCCTCCTTCTCCCTCCTCATGCCTCCTACCTCCCGCCGGCCGTCTTTCCTGCCTCCTCGTCGCCTCCCTGGGCGCTGGCAACTGCACAACTGTCGCCACTTTCGTGAGGCCCTTGGAGGGGAGGTCCAGCAGAGTGGGCTGGGGCCCTACGCAGATCCACGCCGACACGACAGTAAACAGCCGTATCGTCTTTCTATCCTTCGACGCGGATTGAGCGTTCGTGATGCAGGGGCAGATGGATTTTGGCAAATAAGTTGTGTCCTTGCAGGCCTGTTAGTCGTAGGGGCGGTTCTGCCAGCAGAATCAGTGATGCGGATACGGGCGTTCAGGCGCGTTCCCGAAACGACCCCAGAGAGCCCCAAAACGGTCCACGACGGCCCCCAAGAAGCCGTCATACCCCCAAAGATCGCTCCAAAACGTCCCAAGAGGCCTCCAAGAGCACTCCCAAGAAGGCCCCACGAGGCAAAAATCATTGATTTTCTGTTGGTTGTTGGTGAATTTTGGGGTTCTCCTCTTTTCGGCTTTCCGACGCTCCAAGGCGGCGGTCTTCTGGGCGTCCGAAGCCGCCTGGGAGGCTCCAAAGTCGCCCCACAACCATCCGAAAGGGCTTCCAGGTAGTCCAAGAGAGCCCCAAAACGGCACAACAGGGGTCCAAGATGGCCCTAAGGGAGCCCCATGGCGGCCCAAGATGGCCCCAAGACACCCTCCGAAGCATTCCAAATCGTGACCTGGTCGTTCAGGGAGACCGCGGTTGGAGGCAGGGTGGCCCGAGGAAGCCCCCAGAGGCTCCCAGAACACGCCCAGGAGGCTTCCAGAAGGCCTTCAGAAAGCTTGAACAACTTTTGTGAAGCCCCCCAGAGGCTCTCCCAGGAGGAGCCTTCGCAAAAAGAGCTGAGGAGGATGGGGAGAATGCGCAGGGTATGGCGAGAATGGGGAAACAGAAGCATGGAGGAAGGATTACGAATAGTATCATTATTACGGCGATGGCAGAAAAGGCAACAAGGAGTTATCGCTAAATTGTTGGCTTGACCTTCCTAGCATTCCGCCTGCATACCAAACTTCAAGGACCAAGGTGCATGGCGCGAAGCGCCACTGCAGTCTTGTGTGTATATATGCTCACCTACATACGGTTGG